CTCTGCGGACTCACTGGGGACATCCAGAATTTTCAGTTACTTTGGCAGTTGAAAGGATAAACTAGGTTTTATTCTATAAGGAGCTAACAAGTCTTGTATTGGGGTACAACAACAATGGCCATTTTCTGACAGCCAATTTGTACTAAGTGCTAATCTAAGGACTTCCCATGCCTCACTTAGATCCCACAACAATCTTTAGGTGAAAAAATGGATGCTTAATGAAGCTCAACAACTTGTCTAAAGTGACCTGGCTACTAAGTTGAGCCAAGATTTCAAGTTAGAGGATCTCAAGCTTACACTCAACTTTCACACTGCCTCCTTCCCAATGCTGCCTTGAAGCATATGAACGGATAGCACCCAGAACTATTTGTCTATTCTCATTAAATTTGGATAATCTATTTTAATTCCAGAGAAAGATCTATAAACCTGCTTATTAACTGGCACATCTGCACCATGTCTTAACATTAACTTCATTCTATGTGTCCCAGCTTTGTACATACCTGACCACTAAATACTTCTGGAAGAAATCACAATGTCTGGTAGACTGCTAGCACATAAATTCCTGATCACTCAGTTCTACTGGATCCTACTATTGCTAATGTGGCATTACTGTGTTGAAGATGTATTTCAAATATTTTCTATTTTGTTCTGTGACTATGGACTTCTGCTACCAATGGCCATGTCTTGTACCCTTTATGCCAATGTGTCTGTCATTACTATTCTTTTCAAATGAGCTGGGCCTAGTGACTTGCTTCTAAATATAGGGTATGGCAAAAGTGATGGAATAGTACTGCTGTAATTAGGATGCTACAGTTTGAATCTGGAATGTTTTGCAATGGCCCATGTACCCCATTTGGCCCCACTAGGTGGTGGTGGAAGCCTTTCAAAGGTAGCACTTAGTTGAAGACTTCTGGTCACTGGAAATATACCCTTCAGTGCAACTAGGAATCTAGCGTCGTCTTTTTTTCATTCCTGGGTATGAAATCAAGGGGCTTTATCCACCAGGATGTTCTGCCTCAACAGGACCAAAAGCAAAGGGAACAAAATTTTTTTTTTTTTTTTTTTTTGGTGGAGGGTTACTTTTTAAATTACTTTTGCAGTTATTCTTTCATTTTCATTGCTGAGACAAAATGCCTTACACCCACAAATTAAAGGAGAAATGGGTTATTTTAGCTCAGTTTATGGAAATTCCATACTCAGCTAGCCCCAAGGCAAGGCAACATGAAGAGGGGCATGGCTGAGGAAAAACAGTCCATTATAGGGCAAACAGGCAGTGGCAGTGAGTCTCCCTTTCCCTCTATGTTCCATCCAGGCTAGAAACCTATTGGTTGGTACTACCCACACCCAGGGCTGGGCTTCCATTAGCTACACCTAAAACTATGCTAAATCAATTTAATCATCATACACCCTTAATCCATATCCATGTCCCCTTGATCCAGCCAGGATCACATGAGGCTTTGAAGGGACATCTAGATATAGTCATAACTGGTGCCCATTGACCATGAACTGAAAGCATCTAAACTGTGAACCAAAATAAACTTTTAAAAAACTGGTTATCTCTGTGATTATGTTATAGTAGCAGAAACCTCGCTAACACAGATACAATGACATTGTGAGTTTTATCTCAGCTCACTTTTTCCTGTCATCTCATTTGCTCTGATACAATCTAGCGACAGTGCCCTACAGAGAATCTGCCAGGGAAGGAAGCCTTACAATGAAACAACTTCCTCAATCTCAGAGCCCAGACACTCAGATTTCTGACTCAACTCATAGACTATGAAATGAACATTGCTGCCAGGGAGATAGCTCAGTAGAACAAGCACCTGCCTGGCAAGAGCAGGGTCCTGAATTCAATCCCCAGTACTGCAAAAAAGAAGAAAAAAAAAGAAATATTGTTTTAAGCCACTATACTTTGAGGAGTAATTCATTTTGCAGCCTTAGATAATAAAGGTAATATATCTTCCAATTTCAAAATTCTCCTCCATACAAAGCACACCTGAGTTCTGTCAAGAACCACATGAGTATGTCAACTTTCCACTGCTGTGACAGAATCAATTTAAAGGAAGAAATATTTATTTGTGTCCCTAATTTCACAGTTTTTAGCCCATGGCCAAGTGGCTCTACTACTGCTGGGCCTATAGTGAGACCGAGCACAGTGGGGAGAATGTAGTGGAGAAGACTGCTCACCCCACAGTAGGCAGGAGACAGAGGTGTAGGGGTAAGAGACTAAGGACCCTGCCCTGCCAGGACACATCTCAATGGCCCACTTTCTCCAACCAGGCTTCACCATCTAAAGTTTCCACCATCTCCAATAATTTACACCATGAATCCATTAAGTGATTGATCTACTGAGATGAAAGCCTTCATGATCTAACAATGCTATCAGAAATCTCACCTCTCTTGGGCCAGCCAAATAGCCCAGCAGATTATAGCACCTGAAAGCAGGAGCAAGGGCCAGGGATTCGATCCAATGGCCTGCTGAGCTTGCCCTATCCCTGGGGCACGCTGAGACGGTCATTGAGACTGGGCATGGTGGTGCACACCTGTAATCCCAGCTCTTGGGAGGCTGTAAATAGGTGGATCACTAGGAATGTGATCTAGTAGTGAGTCCCTGAACACCCTGTAGGTCCTTCCCTAATATATATATATATATATATATATATATATATATAGAAAACCACAAAAGAAGTCTCACCTCTCAATATCACACTGCACTGGAGACCAAACCTTTAATAGCTGAGCTTATGGGAAACACATCAGACCCAGCTCAAAACAGTGACCACAGAAACAAATCTTCTCCTAGTCAAAAACATTAGATGGGGCCAGTGAAATAGTTCAGTCATCTAAAGTGCCTGCTTAGGCAAGCACACAGGGACCGCAGCTCAATCCCCAGCACCACATGCTGCGCCAGTCCTGTTCCCAGGGTGAGCTGAGCTGGCCACAAAAAAAAAAACAAATAAACAAAAAAACTGAGATAATCTAGCCACTATTTTGCCCTACATAATATGCCTGAAGCCTTTTGAAAGCTCTTAAGAACCACTTGGGCACGGTGGTGCACACCTATAATCCCAGCACTATTGCTGAAAGTTCAAGGTCAGCATTGGGCTACACAGAGTTCAAGGCCAGCCTGCCCTACATAGTGCTAGTCTCAGAAATAAAAAAAATTTAAAAAAATCCTGAGAACTATGCAACACTCAGATTTGTAATTGACTGATCATGAAACACTGTTTTAAGTCATTATATTTTGAGAATAATGCATTGCCCAGCCTTAGATAATGAAGATAATACGTCTTCCTCCCCCCCCTCCCCCCAACCAGGGATTGAACTCAGGCCTTTGCACTTGCCAGGCAAGCGCTTATTCTACAGAGCCATCTCCCCGGCCCGATAATACATCTTCCAATTTCAAAATTCTCCTTTATCTCCAACACACAAGCCCTTTTTGCAATCTTAGCTTTTAGTAGATGACCTAAAAGAGATGATCACCTCTTTTATGTGAGAAATAACGTCTTCAGTTATATACAAACTTGAAATCAAATCTATAATCTTAAGAGCATGATCCATCAATCCTTCTTTTGCACAATTCATCCTTTTCTTCCTTAAAGCAAACCATCTCCCTCTTCCAGATGCCTCTCCATCAATGGCTAAGTCTTCCCTATCCAAAATTACACACAAAAACTAAAACTGCCTTGACGCACCATCCTCTATAAGTACTTCCTCTCTCCTCTATTTTATCGTTGCAATCACAATTGCTTTTATTTCCTAATTATTCCTCAGCCTTCTTGGACATAGACCTCTCAGGACCCACAGCCCCTACCAAGAACTAAATTTGTCCTTGCTAAGGTCTTCTACTAAAGGCATCTGAGATACTTGACCACTCACACCATTTGGTACACGCTTTTGAGATTTCTTCTCTTGTGGCCCTGATGTATTATTTCGGTTTTTCATCTTCTTCCAGCTTCAATATTCAGTCCTTCCATGCTCTTCTATTTTTACTACTTCTCAGGAATACAGTCCTAAGCCCTCTATTTGGATTTTATATGACCAGGAGTGCAAAACTCACTCCCCTAGCGGATAAGGCAAGCAATGAAATGAATGTTATGGGCTGAGTGTAAGGCTTTAGGAAGTGGTGGGAACTGGAATGAACTACATAGCTCAGACCGCACAAAAAGAGGTGTTCTCTGGTTCGGTGCAATTAAACAACTACCTACTGAATTTTTCAAAACCTTTGCAATTTATCAGATAAATTTGTGAATAATTATTGACAATATTTTTTTTGAAAAACGGTAGACCAAGTCAATTTACACGCCGCTAAGCTATCACACTGTGGATTCCCCTTAACCAATCTCTTATTTCATAACAATATTCTTGTTATGCTAAAAAAATTCAAATCTCTCTTTAAGGTTAGGTCTTTTTCCTAAGCATGTCCATATATCCTAAATACCTCTTTGCACATCGATTATCTCGCTTGGTTGTCTCCTTGAAATGGTCCATCTCTATCCTCTCTCTGGGCTCAAACTTTAAGGTTTCCCCACTCCGGTGAGAAAGCCTAACATCGCTTACACCTACAGTACCTTGTGGATCTGTCCTGCAGCATTCTCTCCGTTCCAGGCACCTCTGCATATGCTGTATAAGGCTAAAATCACATATATCGGAACTCTTCTCATTGGTCAGCGGCTTTTCTTGACTGGTCATTACCTTTTTACACGTCCTAACACTCAGTAATCAGACCCTACACAAATGCTGCTCAAGGTTTTATCTGCTCTACAGACTAAGAATGTGGAAACCAGGTGTACCGCGCTCACTACTGGGTTTCCGAGTTCCTTCAACCGTGTCTAGCGGCGTTGACTCTCAAAACAAGTCTGTTAAAAATCACGAGTACACTCACCCTATCACATGGCTATTTACCTCACTCTCAAACTCTTTGGGAGGAAAGGCTTAAGTAAAATTCAACTACATTATCCTCATAAACCTTTTCTTGAATGGATGAATGAGACAATCACCCGCGGCTGCTCGAGGATCACCGGCTTAACAGGGCGGAGGTGGGGGCCGGGCGAGCGGTAGTAAGAGCATCACGTGCACGTGATTCCCAGGAGATACGCGATCGGAGCCCCGCAAACACGTGCTCGGCGGCCCGGCGAGGGCGCGCCCCGGGGAGAGCCCAGCGCCCCAACGTACTCGTGCCCGCGCCGCCGAGCTCCGGCGAGCGCACGTGCTGAGCCCGAACCGAGGGGCGCGCGGGCTCCGGCGAGGAAATGGGGGGCGAGCCGCGACTCAGACGCAGGGACAGGTAGGGAGGAGTCCGCGGCCGAGAGGGGAGAACCCGGAAAGGGCGCGCGGAGAACGGGGCGGGGGCGGGGGCGGGCGGGGGCGTGGCCGGGGAGGCGCGGAATACAAGCGTTCTGGGACTGGCTTAGCGACTGTGTTCGGAATTCGGGGACCAAGCACTCACATCTGGAGTCAAGTGAGGGAGGCCGGTAAGGGTGAAGGGACGGCGGCCTGGGTACCCCGCCCTCGACCTGGCCGGGGCCTGCACCGACCTAGTGCCGCCGTAGGGTGCTTTTCCCTTGGAGCGCGCGGCCTCGCCCTCTGTGAGCGCCAAATACGTCTCGGATGGCCCCGCCCCCCACCAGGGAGGGTTGGGGCGTGGCTCATCACTGGTTAGCGCTCGGAAGGCGTCCGCGTCTTCCGGAGCCCAACGTGGTGACGCAGTACGTCGACGTAAGTGACGCGTAGCCCTGGGCCGCTCCTCCTTCCCCGAGTGAGTGCCGGCCGGGTCGGGGCGGGGGGAGAAGAGAGAGGGCGGGGGAGGTAGAGGCGACCCGGGAGTCGTTTGGGCCGGGGGCCGGGCCGGGTCCCGGGCGGCGGGAGCCCGGTCGGGCGGAAGGGCTTGGCGGGCCGTTAGAGAGCCGCTCGACTGCCAGCCCCCTCCCCTGCCGACTTGCGCGCCCAGACGCCCGGAGCCTCCGGCGCTTGCCCACCCCGCTCCAGCTCGCGTCTCCCGACTCCAATTAGGTCAGGCTGGGAGTCCCGCGGCCGCGGCTCCGGCCCGCACCCCGCAGCGGCCACTCAGCTTGCCTTTCTTTCTTCCCTCGGCGCCTTCTCTTGCATCGCCTGCCCCCTTTTCACGTTCCTGGGTGTTTTTGTTTCATGCTTTGGAGGTTTTGTTTCTCAGCCCGAGCTCATGGGTGAACATTATCATGCGCCTCTTTTGTAGAGCAACCCGACGGCCATGGAGGCTGAAGAGACGATGGAATGCCTTCAGGAGTTCCCTGAACACCACAAAATGATCCTGGACCGATTGAATGAGCAGCGAGAGCAGGACCGCTTTACCGACATCACCCTGATTGTGGACGGTGGGTAGGACGGAGGAGCGACTTTATGCCTTCAGTACTCCCGCTTCCACCCGCCCTTTTATTTCTTTTTTTTTTTAACCCACCCTCTCTGGGCTTTCTAACAAAGTCTGGACTGGGACTGGAGGGCCCTTAGCAGTGTCCACTGACACAGGTCATGCTGCAGAAAGCTGGTTGGTTGGCCCTGTTTTCAACATAAGTTGATGTCCATTGCGTTTTCAGTTCTTATAGCCTGTTGAAGTTTTTCTGATTGCACGCCTAATAGTGGATAGAGGAGATACTTGAGAATGTTTAACTAGTAGATGGAGGAGAATGACTTGAATTCTTGGTTTTTCTTTTCTGTTGGTAAGCTGCTTTGCCCAGTCCCTCACCAGTCTTTTGGGAAGTGTTGATTTCTTTCCAGATGGTCTTGAGGGGAGAACGTGAGGAACAGGTTGGCTGCATTTGTATGCCCTTTCAGGCCCCCGAAATAGATTGGGGTCCTTGCCAGTCTTAGTTGTTTTTATAATTGAGGCAAACCCAGCTTGGCTATTTTTGCTAACTAGTGAAAGTTGGGTATTTAAGGGAAGCTGTTCTTTGTTGTAGGTTACCCAGAAATTGAACTTCCAAGGACTAGGTATTTCCCTTGGCAGACACATCTAGCTTTGTTCTTTTTGGTAGTGGTCTTTTCTTTCTTTCTCTCTTTTTTTATCTCTCCAAGTTATGTTTGACATTTTGGATTGTTTTATATATATGTTTAACGCTGTCAACTGGGTAAGGTGTGCTACTTGATTGAAGGTAATAGTGCTAGGACTGTGACGATAAACCTTGTGTGGCTTTCAATGATAACAGTCTGCTGTTGCACCTGTGCTGTAGATTCATCACTACTGTTTTTTAGCAGATTCCTCACTGCTGATTTAGGAGATTCCTTGGGTTATAAACTAGCCTTTGTAAAAACAAAATCTTTGAAACAAAGATTTGACTTCAGATAGAAGGTTTAAAATTTACTGAGATAGTTGATATTTTGGCTTCAGTTCAGTAATTCTGCAGGCAGGTAGCTACATTATGAAGGAACTATTTAAGACAGTTTTATAGTTTTAAGTTTTGTGCATAGGTATAACCCCCCCACTTTTTTTTTTTTTTTTTTTAACTTAGGGCACCATTTTAAGGCCCACAAGGCTGTTCTGGCTGCCTGCAGTAAGTTCTTTTACAAATTCTTTCAAGAGTTTACTCAGGAACCTTTGGTGGAGATAGAAGGTGAGTACTTGTTTTAAATACAATATTTAATGAACGTAATTGGTTTGTTAGTGGGTAAAATTGTTTTCTTGAGGCACAAGAATTTTTTTTTAGTAAAGTGCCTAGTAGAAGGATTGACCAGGAAAAGCACTTTAAAATGGTAGGTTTGGGGTCAAAAAGGAGTCTTTTCTGTTGCTGATACTAGTAGTGTACTGGAAAACTACCATCTTTTTCTTTTCTTTTCTTTTCTTTTTTTTTTTTAATTTTAAGACTGGGTCTCACTATGTAGTGCAGGCTGACTGAACTTGCTTGTGTAGGCTGGCCTCATTGATCCTCCTGCCCCATCCTCCAGAGTGCTGGGATTACAGGTGTGTACCACCACACCCAGCTCTAAACTTCCGTCTCTTAGTGGGCTTATATTTCACATTGGAGGGCCGGGGAGATGGCTCAGTGGAATAAGCGCTTCCCTGGCAAACGCAAGGGCCTAAGTTCAATCCCCAGTTCCACCAAAAAAAAAAAAAAAGAAAAAAAGAAAATGTTTCACATTGGAAGGAGTGCTGTTAAAGTTACTGTACTAGCAGAAGTAGCAGTAAGGTACAGATAACGTACCCAGGATGAAATGGGCTACCAAAATATGAAAAAGACTAGGAAAATTGAATTAAAGTAGCATTCAGAGGAATTCTAGTGGCTATAGAATGTCTTCGGATGCAAAGGTTAATTAGATTAATTACATTAATTAGATATTCCCTTGAAACAAAAACTGGTTTTTGTAGTTGACTTTCTTTCTAATGCTTACCAAGTGCCAAGCATTGTGCAGTGCAGTTTGTCTATTACCTGCAGCCAACATTTACCTTTGGGTATTTCTGTTGTCCAATTTACACAGCAGGGAACAAATTCCAAAAGATTGTTTGCCCAGGTTGTCCAGGTAGGTGCATATTCAGTTTGTACTCTTACTTGCCATTCTTTTATCTTTTGCTGTTAGAGTACTATTTTCCTGCTCCACCTCTCAAAATCCAAAATGTTAGGAAATAAATCAGTTTGTACATAAATATAGACTCTTCAGTCAGGACTTTGGGGTTTTGATTTTGTATTTCTCTACTCTTTGTTATGAATAGGTTGCCTAGAAATAGTATTCCCTTGGAAAAATTAGATGCCTAGAGGAGAAAACAAAAAGTTAACAATATCTTTTTATTTCAATGTATTCTAGTTGATGATAAGTCCGTAATCTTTTGACTATCTATGGTGGACAGAGCACAGGCATACTTGAATTTCATGCAGCTGATGAAAGTGAGAATCTAGCCAGCTAGATTATGTTGGTTTTACTACAAGGAGAGACGCCCATCAGTTTTCAATCACGTGAGGCTTGTTAAATATCTATCCTCAGGCAGATTACTTTACCTCAATTGCATTTTGTCTCATTTGAAACTTAGGTTAATTGTCTTGTAATGATAATTAAAATAGTGTATGTAGAGTGTCTGGCATTGTATTTGTAATGGAAAGTATCATGTTGAATACTTACTGTGTGTATATTTTTTATTAGAGTAAGGAACTGAAGAATTGATGAGTATATGCCCAATAAAAACTATAAGGAAAATAAAAACAAGGCATGCCTTAAATAATTTGAAATATATATATTTTGTAACTTTTTTTTAATTTAGTGTGTGTGTGTGTGGCCAGCTCAGCCCACCAGGGGGCGGGGCAGGCAGGCTGGCATGTGGTGCTGGGGGATTGAACTGCGGTCCCTGTGCTTTGCTAAGCTTGTTCTAAGTAGGTGCTTTAGACCACTGAGCCATCTCACTAGCCAATAATTTGAAATATTAACAGATGAAAGAATAGAAAAAGAGATCGTTAGTATGGAATATCACTGAGAAGGGAGAAGTTTAGTCTACATAGGAATGATTTCCAAAAGTTCATTTCTGCATATATTAAAAAGTGTTAAGCAGTCCATGCTGGAGTTCAGGCTCAAAGAAAGAGTTTGGCTAATGTCTTACACCCAAAACTCAGGGATTGCTTTCCTGTGTAACAAGGTCACCTAGCTATAAAGAAAGCCCTGGGTACATAATCAGAAAGTTTGAGTTTTAGTCTTGGCTTTTCTGTTTGTCAGTTGTATGATCTTGGACATTTTGGCTGCTGCTTTTTTAAAAATCTGTACAATGTCAAGTAATTTTGGATCATGTCATGGACATCTTTGACATCCTGCTATAAGACTACATGCTGTTAGAAGCTTCTGGGAACTGTATTTTATTGAGGGGCAACTAGGTTAGGTTCAAGCTCTCTGGACTATGGATCCAGTTCTAGTGTAGTTGTCAAACCTTTGTGGCACTGTCCAGGCCCCGTGTTACTTCTTGGGACCTGAGTGCTAGTCCATGCCATGGTGGTGGTTCCCAAAGCTGTTGCTGTGCAGCCTCCTGTCAGTGCAGCTCCCTCCTGATTTTCTCAATGAGTTTGCCCTTTTAGTGCTGTTACACTTCTCAAAGGTGGTCTATTTTCTGAATAAAGTACTGTT